GGTGAGGAGATCACATCTGTACACAGTACTGAAGATGTGGGCGTACCATAGTTTTATACTTCCCCTCCTCCTTCTTCCCCTGGCTTCCCCATTCCAGCTCCCTCCTCCCAGGTTTCCCCCTGCCCTCTCCCACCCTCTCTCTTCCCCGCTCCCACCTCCTTTTCCCAGTCTCACCAGAGGTTAATCCCCCACCCCACCCCCAGTTTTGTTAAATAAAGAGAGTTTCTATTTTTGAACACGTGTCCTTTATTTTGTACATCAGGAAGGGGTGCTAGGGAGAGGTAAGTGGAAGGAGGTGAGGGAGGAATGGGATACGAGTCCCCGATGGGGAGGACTGGGTTGGCTCTGCTGGCTCCTCAGGGTGGAGGCTCTCCTGCAGGGTCTCTTGGATCCTGACAGCCCCCCGATTGACCTTCTCCCCCCCCCGGATGGCAGCCTGCGGCAAGTGCAGCCGGGCTGATGGCCGAGTGCTGTGATGTGCCGAGTGTGGGCACTCAGGGCACTCCAAGCCAGGACTGCTTTGCAGGTGGGGAACCCCTGAGAACTGTCTGTCCAGGGTGGGGGTCGGGACCCTTTAAGCACAGCCCTCGGTTAGCCTGAGACAGCAGCTCCACGCTCTAAGTCCTAATCTGATGCCCTGCCAGCACTGCTTCCAGCCATCCTTAACCTCGGTCCACTCAATGTGGACATGCTAGTTCGAATTAGCAAAATGCTAATTCGAACTAGTTTTTAGGTCTAGATGCACTAATTCAAATTAGCTTAGTTCGATTTAACTAATTCAAATTAAGTTAGTTCGAATTAGTGGTGTAGTGTAGACATGCCCTCAGGTAGTATGGATTCCTTATCACCTCAGTTATAATTACAAATTGAACTGTAAATGTTTTCTCCTTACACTCACTAATCATCTAAAATTATAATGATGTTACACTTTGTATCTTTCTTGTCAAAGAATCTCAATGTACCTCACAAACCTAAGGTGTGATGCATCTGTAAAAATGGCACAACAGGGTTCCACATTTATCATCTCTAAATAAATTCTGCATCAAATATAGTAAGTTTATAAGTAAAGAGATGGTTTGGTTTTTTTAATTTCAGTCTTTCATACTCAGCCTGGGCACTGAACATCAGACTGGATTCTTTTCTTGTAGTACATCACTGCCTTAATAAACGTTCTTCCATTCCAAACTATATATTAATGTATATCTTTACACCTACACCCCTTTGTCTTCAAGATATGCCTTCAGTTTCATCTGTACAACAGCATTACTTGCAATGGGTATGCACAGGTATAACTGATTTAATACATAGCCCTATTGATAATGCACAAGAAAGAACATAATCCAGCTAAATCTCTGGCCTGGAGCAAATCTGCAGAGTTGATAAAAATACCAAACAATAAAAAAACTCATTTTAACATAAAAGGCAATATACATGATTCAGAAGCAATTTGAAAAAGAAAGTACTTTCTGAACTGGTGTGATGAAAAGTATCGTGTACATATATACAAAACAAATGAGACTCGGTGTATTTCAATACCTGTCTATAATTTAGAGCATCTAGAAAAATAGAATCTTCAGTGAAGACAACAGATTTACATGGCATATTGATTCCCAAAGCAAGTGATCCAGTAGCTGTAACCACCTAAGAAAAGTCAAACATACGTACATTTTAGTATCAATTATTATAATTATTTATTTTATTATAGTTTTCAGATTTTTTTTCTAATTTAGAAACTTTCATGTCAATATATTAATTAAAAATTAATGCTGGGGAACAAAGTGCAATGTATTTTATCACACTCCATGAAAATAAGTTTATATCTGAATTATATAGGTGAGACTCAAACTGTGATTTAATTAAATGTAATAAGAAATTATGAAATTACATCTTAAAATGAACTGTCCATAAAAATTATTATAATTTATACCCGGATATATCCCATCCTGAAAAGCATTTCCACAACTTGTTTTTCTTTGTATGCCATAGAAGCGTGATGATATCCAATACCTCTCTGTGCCAACATTCTCAGCTGGAAACGCTTTCTTTGAAACCTAATTCGATGAAAGATGTTCATCAAGGTCTATGGATATAAAGAAAAGTTAAGTATTAATCTCAGGCATTTAGATGTTGTAAAATAAAATGTCAAAATTCTTCGCTGGTTATTTTCTTCCTGTAAACAGCTTCTCTACTAGTCATTAATAGATAATATAGGCCACCTATGGAATTCAGAGGTGGTCCGGTATTGTTTATGGAGTCCTCCAACATTAAGTGCCACCCATCAGTCGAGCCCAGTGTGGATACAAAATCTATTTCTGCATCTGTATTCATAAAAATGAGCTATGGATATCCACAAATGTGCAGGGTTCTAGATACAGAATTTGTATTAGCATCTGCATCTATAGCCATAAAAATGAGATACGGATATCCACAACTGAATCCATATCCACGAATGCAGATACCCACGGATATAAAATGGATATCCAATTTTGCAGGGCTCTTCCCATCAGCTCAGATTACCAGAAGTGTTCTTCCAATAACTATAGAAATACTCCACCAACCAATTTTTAGCATTATGAAAACCCAATCTACTATATATTTGAGAGTTTGTCTGTCTGTACATCTGTCCATCAAAAACTCCTCCTAAATGGTAAAAGTTAGGACCACAGAATTTGATATATGGCTTCCTTCTGTCATAACTTAAAGCAATGTAAGGGTTTGGTTGTGTCATGAAAATGGGATGTGCTTGGAATGGGATTGCTTCTCTTAAAACTATACATAAAAGACAGAAAATAGACAGAATCACAAGGAAGGTGAAAGAGGCTAGCTGGGAGTGTGCATTTCCCTCCATCCTTAATCTGGGACAGCTCACGGGAATGAATTCCTTGCCTTCTACACTCCATAATTCCCAATGGATGGACATATCATGCTTTCCCTTGGACTATAGTGTCTGCAGGAACTGCAAAAAGCTCTGATGCTGGAGTGACTCCCCTGCACAGATCTCAAGGATCTCAATGGAAGGATAAATGAGTCTGGTTCCATCTTAAAACTAAAAGTCAAAACGGAAGTGAAGGCACTCAACATCTCACTAGAGGTGTCCTGTATCTTGCAGGACTGCACTTTCAATTTAGACAAGTTTCATGACATTGTAAGCACAGAATTATAAAGTACAGTGATATAAAAAACATGGTAACCCTATATTCATATGTTTAGAACAAAAGCAAATGTTATGTTTATCAATAATGGATTACTCACTTCGTTATCCACAGCTTTAGAATTAACATAAGTACAGTCTGGAGGAACCTCAGTAAGCTTTTTAAGTCTTTTCTTTAAATATTGTTTTTCATTCCAAGTAAGGATCATTCTTTCATGTTTAGTGGCAGATTCCTTTTTTAGATTACTGTATAAAAAGTATAATTTAAATGGAGTGGTTTTTAATAGAAATTAATTACAAAGTACTCTTTTGTCTACTCAGCTTGTAAATATGTATTTCCTTTTCAAGTAACTCATAAATTAAATCTCATTCTACATAATTAAATACATGCTAACTGAATTTTACATCATCACCTTTATACAAAGCAACAAAAACATTTTCAAAGATAAAGAAGAATATAAAGTTACTTACACAGGCAAAAAGGATAATGATATACAAAAATGGAAGAAACTAAAAAAAGCAGAATTCTAAAAATGGAAAATATTGCTGTGATGGACAGGAGTATTTCTGGCCAGCACCCGGTGACAAAGAGGTTAAACTTGGATAGCTATAAAGGTTGTTGGCAGGGAGTCAGAAGAACTAATGGGGATGGAGTGCTGAAATTTGAATTGTATAAGATACCTTGCCCGTTTTCTTTGGGAGAGTTAAAAGCAGGAGTTGAGAGACATAAAATGATTTAAACCCAGACAGGACTACCATGCCTCCAAGTAATTCAGGGCATGGAAGTGGACTGAATCAAGAAGGGGTCATGAGTAAATAAAGGGGAAAAAGTGTATCTAGTCATGATCGATCAGGGTGTTTTTTCTTTATTTTTGTGGTTTGGTTTGAACTTCTCTGTGTAGATACATGCCTCCCCTCTCCCATTCACCATCTAAGAGTTGTTCCCAGAGATTTTCTCTGTGTCTTAATTTGTTTTACTTAGTTGTTTTGTAACACCCAGCAATCAAGTATGTTTTATCAAGTATAGCTTCTGTTTTGTAATAAAAATCACTTTAAGGTGATGATTTGATTCTTGTGTCCTGGAAAGTACAAGAGGTCTGTCTGTCTGTGTATACGCATGCCTCAGACTAAGAGGTCAGCCATCAGAGACTGCAACTTGTTTCTCTCTTCTTTTTTTTCAAGCTTTTTTGTGTCAAAAGAGCTTGGTACCCTTGGGGGGATTCAAGTGTTCCCCCCTATTTTTTTAGGTAAATCACTTGATGGTGGCAGCTACCCTGCCCCAAGTGAGTAAATCTGTTGCTCTGGTGAGTTTTTGTAAGCAGAGTCTGTAGAGGCAAGGTATTTTTAGGGTTTCTTGTGGATATCCACCTTCTGTACTCGGAGAGCCAAAGTGGGGAACAGCCTTGACAATTGCCAGGAAAGCATAATATGCTTGCAAACTAAGGACAGGTGCTCTACAATAAAAGAAGAGTGAAAGAATGCTACGTAAGTGTGGAAGAGAAAGGTGAAAGAGGTTTACTATCTAACATGAACTGGAAAAGTCATGAATCTAAAAATAAAAAGTGACTTTGGGCTAGATACATTTTCAAGAGCTCCTACAGAATTAACTCATATTGAAATTGGGGATGTTAAACTGTGGATAATCCGACAGAAGTGTAACCACTGAAAAATGTCAGTGGTTACACAGTTACATGCACTTGCAGCATGGGGCAGCAGCCAGCTGCCTGGGAGCTGGAACACCCCGGCTATGTCTACATTACATCTATACTGGGCCAAATTTCAGAAAAGCCTCCTCTTTTGGAAGAGCCCTTGTTTCTCGTGGGAGGAAAAAGACAGGGCTTCTGAAAGAGCACGTCTGCTCTTCCACACACACACACACACACACACACACACACACACACACAAAAACCAGAAGAGCAGATACATTCTCTGGATATGGCGGAGTTTTTCCGGTATACAAACCCCCATAATGTAAATATAGTCCCTAGGAGCTGGCTTTTAAGCCAGCTCCCCACATAGTCCAGCTCGCACCTGCTGCCCCGCACTGCTTCCTCTGATGTAGAGGATGGCTCCCCAGGAGTTGGACCAGGAGCTGCATGTAGCCATCTGGGTAACTGATAAACTCATGCGTATAGTTACCAGTTTAAGCAACTATACTCTTACATCCCAACTGAAATAAATAAATTTCATTTAATCATGAAATCAGATACACACACCCCAAATGTACACTCTAAGGGTATGTCTACACAGCAAAGTTACTTCGAAATAACAGCCCTTATTTCGAAATAACTTTCTTAGCGTCTACACAGCCAAACCGCTATTTCGAAATAAATTCAAAATAGCGGAGCACTTATTTCGAATTTGGTAAACCTCATTCCATGAGGAATAATGCCAAATTCGAAATAGCTATTTCGAAATAAGTGCTCTGTAGACACTTATTTCGAAATAGGGGGCCTCCAGCCTTCCCATGGTGCCCTAATGACCACTCCAGCCTCAACCAAGAATACTTCTCTCCCTCCTCTCTCCCCGGAGCCCTTAAAGGGGTAGACTCTGGCCACAGTGCCTGTGCCAGCCTAGAGCCAGCAGTTACTGCCCCTGACCCAGTGGCCCCAAAACATGAGCCAGCAAGCCACTGGCAGCCAGCCCTCCATTGCTCCCCAGGAGCAGTCTGCCAGCTCCCAGGAGCCTGTCAGGGCCCAGAGAAGGCGGGCGCCTTCCTGGTCCAGGGTGGAGATCATGGACCTTATTCAGGTTTGAGGGGGATGCCCCCAACGTCTATGATCGCCACACTAGATGGAGGAACACGGCCGTCTATGGCAGGAAAGCTGCAAGCCTGGCTACCAAAGGCCACATGCGAACCCAGGAACAGGTTTGCATGACAATCAAGTTGGTCCGGCAAGACCCCCAACCCTGAGCTCTGAGCTTCCCCTCCCCCTTCTTCCCCTTGCTTCCCCCTTCCAGATCCCTCCTCCCAAGTTTCCCCCTCCCCTCTCCCGCCTCCTTTCTCCAGTCTCACCAGAGTTTCATTCCCCCCACCAGTTTTGTTAAATAAAGAGTTTGTGTTCATGAAAATACGTGTATTTTATTTTACATTAGGAAAGAGAGTTAGAGAGGGGTAAGTGGAAGGACGTGAGGGAGGAATGAGGCACAAGCCCCCAGTGGGGCAGACCAGGGAGGCTCTTAGTGCTCTTCAGGGTGGAAGTTCTCCCGCAGGGCCACCTAGATACTGACAGCCCCCCGATGGACCTCCCAGATGGCAGCCTGCAGAAAGTGCAGCCAGGCTCGCAGCAACGCATCCAAGAGAAGCACCAGAGAGCCCAAGGGCAGCTCTGGTTCCATGTTGCAGAGTGCTGTGGTGTCCCGAGTGAGGGCAATCAGAGCACACAGAGACAAAGTGCTTTGCTGTCCCTCATCGAGGTAGACAAGCAAGCAGGGAAACCTGAGAACTGGCTGTCCGGGGGCGGGGAGGGGGGTCTCTTTAAGCACAGACCTCGGATAGCCTCAGGCAGCAGCCCCACACAGTAAGTCCCTACCTGATGCCCTGCCTGAACCTGGTGCCCTGCCAACCTTAAATGCAATTCAGAGTCCATTCAATGTGGATACGCTATTTCGAAATAGCAAAATGCTATTTCGAAGTGCATTTTGTTTGTAGACGCATTATTTCAAAATAAGCTATTTCGAAATAACACTGTAGTGTAGGCATACCCTAAAAGCTTAGGAAGGTAGCACCTACACACTTTTGAAAATCCCAGTAAGCATTTACCTGTTTCTTTAGGTGCCTAAATACCTTTACAAATTTTAGTGTTTGACAAAAGTAAGATAGTTCCAGGTAGACAATGGAGCAGAAATGAATAAGCTGCTCTAAATAGTAAAAACATTCAGTGCAAGCAGGGAAACACACTTAAGATTCTTCACTCTGAAGTAACATATTCTTCATAGCACAATCATCACACATCAGTCCACATGAGCCCCTGCTCCAGGGGTCCATCCCTTCAACTCAGGTTTTAGGAGAAGAAGGCTATACAGGAATCCAGCTATCAAAAGCAAAGCACTTTTATTGCTGTGACGGAACCAAATCCTCCCCCCTCCCTCTCTCTCACTCACATGCTTTATGAAATGGACTTATGGACACAAATATGCATAACTCAAAGATGCTTTGAACAAATTGTTTCATGTAACCTATCAATTTTAATGTCTTAGTCTGCTGGATCTGTATATCTTTTTCTGGTGTATGTATCATTCTTGTGTGTAGAGTTAGATATAAATAGTATGGAATGCTTTATGGTTTTAAATGTGCAAATGAAAGCCATCAAGGTTGTTTCCAATGCTAAGACTCCTCAATGTCTGGGCAATCATATGTAAACACCCTTTTTTGTCCTTTAAGTGTTAGCAGTGGTTGGTCCTAGGAAGTCACATGACCTCCCTAACTGGCAGGGATTGGCCAGATAACTTCCTCTTCTAAAAGGGAATTCATAAAAAAATAGGAAACTTAACAGGGTCTTTGTCTTTGGCTGGGACACTCCCAAGAAAGGGAGCCAGAGATCCCAGGGAAAGGGAGCTTCCCTGGTTGGAAGGCTTAGCTGGAAAACGAACAGCTTTATGGTGAGTTTGTAATGAGTAAGATTGTAATGAGCAAAATTCTGTGCTGCACTATACAGGGTACATCACTGAGCACACAGGGCTGAGGGGCGGGGTTAATTACGGTGACTTTAAAAAACCTCCTCACCCTATCCATCCTTGGTGCTCTGGGGCCTGAAGAAGTCTCCGGCCTCTCTTTGACACTCCTAGGGCCTGGCTAAATTAAGTAAGTCTCCCCAGCCTGCATCATTGCTTGGAATCTCCACATTGCAGCTTAATGCTGCTGCAGACCTGCCTCCTGTCTCTTTTGTGATAGGGGTTGCAAACATGTTCTTGTACAAACATGTGGTTTGTAACCTATCCTTTAAATCAGCTTCCATACCCAAGGACTGGAAGAGAGCTAACATAATGCCAATATTTAAAAAGGGCTCTAAAGGCGACCATGGCAATTATAGACGGGTAAGTCTAACATCAGTACCAGGCAAATTAGTTGAAAAAATAGTAAAGAATAAAATAGTCAGACACGTAGAAGAACATAATTTCTTGGACAAAAGTCAACGTGGTTTCTGTAAAGGGAAAACATGTCTTACTAATCTATTAGAGTTCTTTGAAGGGGTTAACAAACATGCAGACAAGGGGGATCCAGTTGATATAGTATACTTAGATTTCTAGAAAGCCTTTGAAAAGGCCCCTCACCAAAGGCTCTTGTGTAAATTAGGTTGTCATGGGATCAGAGGGAAGATCCTCTCATGGACTGAGAACTGGTTAAAAGACAGGAAACAAATGGAAGGAATAAATGGTAAAATTTCAGAATGGAGAGGTGTAACTAGTGTTCCCCAATAGTTGGTCCTAGGACCAATCCTATTCAACTTATTCATAAACCATCTAGAGAAAGGGGAGAGCATTGAGGTAGCAAAGTTTGCGGACGATACTAAACTGTTCAAAATAGTCAAGACCAAAGCAGATTGTGAAGAATTTCAAAAGGATCTCACCAAACTGAGTGATTGGGCAACAGAATGGCAAATGCAATTTAATGTGGATAAGTGTAAAGTAATGCACATTGGAAAAAATAACCCCAACTATACATACAATATGATGGGGGCTAATTTAGCTACAACTAATCAGGAAAGAGATCTTGGAATTATCCTGGATAGTTCTCTGAAAACGTCCACGCAGTGTGCAGCGGCAGTCAAAAAAGGAAATAGGATGCTAGGAATTATTTAAAAAGGGATAGAAAATAAGGCCCAGAATATTTGACTGCCCCTGTATAAAACTATGGTACGCCCACATCTTGAATATTGTGTACAGCGAAAGTGTCCGTCTGCTATGTACATTGGACAAACATCTCAGACACTTCGCCAAAGGATTAATGCCCACAAAAAAGATATTTTGGCATTAGAAAAGGTTCAGAAAAGAGCAACTAAAATGATTAGGGATTAGAAATGGGTCCCATATGAGGACAGGCTGAAGAGACTGGGACTTCTCAGTTTAGAAAAGAGGCAACTGAGGGGGGATATGATAGAGGTATATAAAATCATGAGTGGGGTGAAGAGGGTGAATAAAGAAAAGTTATTTACTTGTTCCTATAATATAAGAACTAGAGGACATCAAATGAAATTAATGGGTAGCAGGTTTAAAACTAATAGAATAAAGTTCTTCTTCACAAAGGGCACCCATGGAACTCCTTGCCAGAGGAGGCTGTGAAGGCTAGGACTATAACAGAGTTTAAAAAAGAGCTAGATAAATTCATGGAGGTGAGGTCCATAAAAGGCTATTAGCCAGGGGATAAGGAATGGTGCCCCTGGCCTCTGTCAAAGGCTGGAGATGGATGGCAGGAGACAAATTGCTTGATCATTGTGTCTGGTCCACCCTCTCTGGGATCTCTGGTACTGGCCACTGTTGGCAGATAGGATACTGGGCTAGATGGAACTTTGATCTGACCCAGTATGGCCATTCTTATGTTCTTAAAGAAGCATTATGTCTGTCTTCTGCAATTTCTATTTTAGAATAATCTTCATTAGGGAGCTTTTAATACCCTCTTTATGCTGCTCTGGCTCTTTTCCATGGTGCAAAGGAGCATGGGCAGGGCTGAGAATCTCATGTTGGGAGTGTATATTTCTAAAGTTAAATGTCATATTATACATTTCATTACATGACACTCTATGTCTGCCATGTCTGAATTTTAAAAGTTCAATTTTGATTTGGTGGATTCAGAAATTGTTCCAGCATGGCAAAAAATCACTCTAGTCTATTGATTACATATAGTTAGGTTAAATGAAAATAAAGGAGTTGGATACTGATAGTATTTGAAACATTCAAATAACAAGTTTAATTATGCCAGACTGCCAAAGGGAATGATGGAAACCAGCTTTCCCTTGCCCCTTGCATCAGTTTGTCTATTAGAGCCACTGGTTTATTCCTGTTATTAAAATAATGAACTCTTTGAATCATGAATTGACTCATACTGTATGGGAGACCTGCATGGCCCTGCCTTGACCAAAACAAAGTTTGCTTTACTCAAAGTACAGATCTCTAACAAAGCAAAACCCAGGCCTGTTTCAAGCTTGGTGCACATGGTATGCAGGCAAAGCTGGATCATGCATATTCAGCATATTACAGTGAGACCACACCAAGAGAACCAGACGTAAGGTGGTACTGGTACCTTTTATTTCTGATGAGCAAAAAACAGATGCAGACATAAAACTGTTAATCAGGCACATAGGCTTCATCTACATTGTGCTCTGTTGCGCAAGAATATGCAAATGAGGCGCGGCGATGAATATCGCCGTGCCTCATTTGAATACTTTATAAGCTGCCATTTTGCGCAAGGGGCTTATTTTCAGGCAGAACGGCTCTTGCGCACGAGGGGGGTTTTGCGCAAGAAGAAGCAGTGTAGACTGCTCCTTCTTTCACAAAAGCCCCTTGCGGAAAAATGGCGGCTCATTAGGTATGCAAATGAGGTGCAGCAATATTCATCACCGCGCCTCATTTACATATATCTTCTTGCGGAAGAATGCGCAATATAGACGTAGCCATAGTTTTTTCAACATCCTGAGTAGCAGGATGTACCCTAAATAAGGGCATTTTAGGTATCTTACACAATACATAATTAATGGATAGTTATTATTAGAACAACCAAGTTGAGTATAAATATAGGTGTCAGAAAGATAGACTGGGTGAGGTATCCCCACATATCTTACTCACTGCAACTAGAAGCTGAACCTCTTCATACTAGGAAAAAAAAAAAGCAGCAACCTCTCATCCGTCAATTGTAAGACTGCTAACGTTGAACTGCGTGTAATTTATAGAAATAAGTACATGTATATTCATATCCTTAAAACTGAATATCTTGTGTGTTGTTCTAGGTGTAGGAGTTACTATATTGTCTGTGCTAACTACCCCATTTATTGAAATAGATATACATAACTTTGCATTGCTTCTCTTTACTATTTTGTGTATAATAAAGTTAGAAGTAGAGCTTGTCCTTGGTGTCTTCTGGCTCCTTTCGTATCTGGTATCTTGAACACATGACACATAGTATGTGTTTTTGCAACATCAAACTCACTGAGTCCCTGATCCTGATTCAGGCTTCTGAGCATCATATACATAGTAGCCCAGTGTCTAAGAGTCTGTAACGCTGAAATGCTGGCTGTTCCCTTTGGGTGGCCCGTGCTGCATGGGTAGTGCGGGGCCCAACCAGCCACTTGCTCCACTGCGGCGGCCCGGCTGAGCGGCGCAGAAGTCAGCCGAGCGCCACGGTGGGAGGCGAAGGGGGCCAGGGTGGTGACATACGGCATGACAGCGGCTCCAGGCCTTGCCCTCTGGCTATGAACGTCACCACCCCGCCTCCCTTTGTCTCCCGCCGTGGTGCTTGGATGACTTCTGTGCTGCTCAGCCAGGCTGCTGCATGGGAGCAAGTGGCACAAGCGACCGTTTGGGCTCCACACCCCCCATGCGGCCCGGGGAGTGCGGCACCCAAACGGCCATTTGGGCTCCGTGGTCCCCCGAGTGAGAGGCAGGAGGGGGAGGAGAAAAGAAAGAGAGAGACAGAGAGAGAGGCAGAGGACAGCTGAGAGAGAGAGAGGGGGAGGCAGTAGGAGGAGGAGGAGAGAGAGAGAGACGGAGCGAGAGACCGGAGGCTCAGGAAAGAAGACCGACGTCGAGGAGAGACGTGAAAATCCCGTCTCATGATGGGCTAATTGGCTAGTACCATAATAAAATAATAAATATATAGTAATACTTACGAAGCCAAACATTTCTCTAGAGTTTTATTAGTTTTTCTCAGTTTGTCCCTTAAACTTTCTATTTCTTTTTGAGTATTAGGATCTCGTTCATACATTTGCTTTTTCGTCAAATTGTAAAATACATCAAAGGCTCTGTGTTCTACTAAATTAATGTTAAACCTTAAAACAAAATTTGTAATAAACATCTATTAATATTAGCAAACATTGTTTGTTAAAGAGATACAAATTTTAAACAATGTACTTATAATGTTAGAGCAATAGTCATACAAGCAGGTCTTGTAATCTATCAGTTAATTCTACTCATTAGAAATATGTCCCTATCTATTAAACAAAGCATGTAGCATATGCGTAACTTTAAACACATGACTAGTATTATCAACATCAATGGAATTACTCATATGATTAAAAAGTTTAACAAGTGCTTAATGCTTTGCTGAACTAGACCTTACACCTAGTAAAATATGGACGTTAATGGTAGAATGCTATACCTACTTTGCACAGGTATATGTATTTATATAAGATACATGGCAGCTGAGGGCCAGGTCGCTTAAATGTGATTTGCTGACTTATTTTCTCAGAATCTTCATTTTTACTTTTGTCATTCTGTATAGATTCTGACTATCTCTGAGGAGTCATGTCAATTTCCTATTGTTGAGGACAATTTCTTATCTCAGATTATTTTACACCTCCCAGCTTAATTGTTTAAAGAATTAAACAAAACCAATTTTGAATCTATTCATTTAGATTTTTATTTGAAATTGTACATGTGTACAAAACATACACAACCCAATAACTCCATTGTCCACTTTCTTTAGGAGACAAAGGAAAGGAAAACCATCAAGCTCCTTTTTAAATTTAAAAACATTAATGAAAATACAAAATGGATTAGATAACATATATATGTGCATCCCTCTCTGTATATATTTAAGCTATGAAATTTAACAATTCCAATATTGCAAGATACTGCGTACTTTCCCGATATGCCATTAATTAGTGTGTGTGTGTGTGTCTGTGTATATTCCAATTATGATTCAGCTACACTTTTTAACTCCTCATAAAGGTGAATAGGATGAGAGTGCTTGTGATTTACAATGTGAACATTTACCTCAAATGTTCTTAAACAAATGGTCTAACAAACAAAACTTAATCTCAGGAGACTTTTGTAAAAAAAATAGCACACTACAAAACATACCTTCTTAGCTCCAATACACACCATTCTAGCTCTGATAAAAAGATATACATTACAAAAATTGAATTGGTATACTTACATAAAAAATATGGCAGGCAATTTATCCATGTCTTGTAGTTTTTCAACAAATTGTGCAAATCTGATCCGTTTTTCATTTTCTGAACAATCAACAGGATGTGGTTTAAGGGATTCCAGCAACTGACTCACCTACACAAAGTAATGTTAGTATCTCATTTATAGTGCAATATGTATGTTTTGGAGCAGGCAATAAACTTTGTTAACTAAACAGTAAGGCTGACAGATTTGCCAGGTCCCTGATCAAAGTTTGGGAGGAGGCTGTGCTGTGCTTCCAGCAGAGGTGGGACCTGGGGTGGAAGGGACAGGGCTGGGGGCAGCTAACCTTCAGTGCTGTCTGGAGCATGCCGTGCCATGCCGTGCCTCTCCGCTTTCCCCCACCAGCCCTCAGAGCCATCCAGAGCACACCACTTGGCACTCTGGTGGCCCAGGGCTTTAATTCCTACCACTGCTGCAGTAGTGATGACAGCAGCTGCAAGCCCTGAACCCTTTTGAATTGCTTGTCCCCGGGGGTCCTGTGTCTAAAGAAGGGATTGGGAACCTTTTTTGGATCGGGGTCTGCTGACCAACAGAAAAATCAGTTGGTAGCTGCACAGAAGGGAGAAGTGGGGAAAAAAAACCCTCACTGATGTGACCCCGAGTGAGAAGGAGAAAGACACTCCCCACATTTCCCTCGTACACTAGAGCCTGGGAGGGGCCAGGCTAGTAGATTCTGTGTGCTCTCACACTGTGGTGGGGAACTGGAGCACCAGCATGGGCTCCCCAATGCTGGGAGGGAGCCCTGAGCCTCAGGGTGCCGGATCCAGCCCCCAGACCTTAGGTTTCCCACCCCTGGTCTAAAGAAACTGTCCTTCTACAAATATCTTTGTTCAAGAAAGTCAGAAATTCCAGACGCTGAATCACGTGCCTAATCCATTAGAGTACATTGCTCCCTTACCACTTAGGGCTTATCTAGACTATGGGGAACAGTCGAAAGAGGAATTTGCATATCTTCTTCTGATCACACTTTTGAAAGCAGACCTTTCAAAAATGAAAGTAGTTCAGATGCGGCTTTTTCAGCAAACCCCACCCCTCCCTTTGTAGAAAAGCCGCGTAAACCTCATTTTTTGAGGAAGAGCGGCTTTTCGAAAAAGGGGGGAGGTCGCCGAAAAAGCTGCGTCTAAACTACTTTCACTTTCGAAAGTGGAATTTGCATATCCTCTTTCGACTGTTCCACGAAGTCTAAATGAGCCCTTACTAAATCCTAAATTCTAAGTCTGTATCAGAAAGTGATTAGTCAATCCTTTTCATCTCCTTCATGATTTTCTCATCTTTAAAAATTAGGATAATACTTACTATATTTCATCAGAGGGCTGTTGTGAAATTTTTTCAGTGCCAAATTCTGAAACATTTGCTAAATGTAACCGTACTGGCAACAATGGGGGCACAGAGATGTACCTGAGAACACAATCCTGCCCAGTATATTCACAATACATATACAAGTTCTGGTAATCACAAAAGAATGAAGTAAGCATTAAGTTTAACTGTACTTAAATTCAGGAATTTAACTAGCCAAAAAGATGGCACAAAGCAATTATTCCTACTGGATACAGTCCTACAGTCTTAAAGGAATGAAAATATAAACTCGACGAGACCTAAAAAAAAATCAAAATGGAGCACAATAATAATATATGTATCAAATGTAAATAAAGGAGATTTAAAACTCCAGTTTTCTATTTAAACTTTATATCTATTTAGGTTTTTATACGGTCACCTATAATTGTGGCATCAGAATACAATTTATGGATGGATCATTTGAGTGCTCTGTGGAATTTAAGATTAACTTCAATGAGTATTCCACATGTATACTGAGGCCTTAAACTGCTATATGAATGCTACATTATTACAAAGGTAAGAATCATTGCACCATTACGCATGTTGATGAAAATATCACATTTTTAAAAGATTTTACTTTTTTATATTACTCATTATTGTTTCCTTTCTCCTCCATCCACTGCCCCTTCTGACTGGTTGTCATGGTATACCCACTGATATATCTTGCCTTAGTTAAAGGATGGATTTTCTTCTCACTTACACATATTTTATACCAGTTCGTATCCACTGATTTCAACACAAATGCACTTCATTTACACCTACGTAACTATAAATAGAGAAAGGCCCTAGATTGTGAGTGGTCTTCTATTCTATGTTTAGAATGTGCTTAGCTCAAGCCTCTAAGAAGAATGTACTCCAAATATTTATAATCACAAAGAAAAACTTCTTCAACTGGAAACATGCCCATTACCTGTAGTTTGCAAAAAGGGATTCAAGAATGCACTAAGACAAGAAATGTTCTAAAATAAAACAGGGCCAGTGAGAATGCATTAAGCACAAACGATGGGATTTAAAAAACAATCTAAGGAATTCAGAATTCCAGCTTTCACAGTGGCCATTAGATGACCCATTCCTTTGAGCCCTTTTTAGAATTTCATCTGAACATACTAGCAACACTACTGATTTTAGGAGCCACTGGAACTTTAATTAGAGAAAATGCTTTCAATAACAAAAGAAATAGCAAAAAATTGATTTTAATAACTAAAGGGATATGTGTACTGTATTAATAATCTATTTACATTTCAGAAGGACACACGCTTGTGACATTTTTAGTTACCTTTTCTCTTTGGCCAAGAACAATCCAGTTGATCAGTTCTTTCTTCAGTTCCTGTTCATAATTTCTTGCATTTGTTCTTGTAATTACTATTTTATTCTTGAAAGAAGTAAATTCCTCAGGATCCAACTCCTTGAAAACAGCATCAATTAAAAAAATAACAAATTGCTCTTTCGATATTTTCAAAAAATAGACTCCATATATAATTGTGTATACACACCTGTAATTTTGGCCACTCTTGCCAGACTTTTGCCATCATGTCATATAACTGGATACTCTCTCGTGGAGAGAAGGCAATGTCTGAAGGAATGCCATAGTTCTCAATCTATATGTGTGTTAAACCAAAGAATCAGCAGAACGATTTTTTCATTAATGTTACTAATTCAAGACCAACTTGTCTCTCTTGTTATACTTACATGGTTGACTGTTAATGCAGCACATGGGTGATAGTGATCAATGATGAAATTATTTTCCCTGAGAGAACACACATACTTTTCCAGATCATTGTATCTGTCTCCATGCAGCACTGTATATACAAGCATAAAATTATTTATGAATTAAAATTATACTTATGCTTGTTTCTTTTAAATATTAAGTCTCCCATTCTGTAAAGATGTTTAGTTTTATGGAACTAATCACAGTTTGTAAGTCTTTGCGGGATTGAGGCCACAAATTATATTTTCTAAATTTAAAAAAATTCAATACAGACCTAGTCTAACTCTATATGATTTTTTTGTTTTTTGTAGTTTTGGCTTCCTTGTCCCTTTCCAGGCAGTTGTACATGAACTGGGGCTTTCTTCTATTGTACTCTCAGCAAGTTGCCAGTATCTTTTTACTGACTGTAGCCACCTATAGTATAAGAACAAAATAAAGTTAAAGCTTCTGCAAAAAAACTGAAAGAAAATAGATGTGTTTAGAGCAAGTTAAAAGGCAAAATATGTAAATATTTTTATATAAATCTGAGCCTCAATTACATTCAACATAAATAAATATTCAACATGAAATCTGATCCTCAACTATATTCCTTAATTTCATAGAAACATTCTGAAAGCAGACTTTTCAACTTCCTTAACAAAACTTCCCTGCTACCTCAAGAAAAAAAAAGATAATTGAATTTAAGTTTTGTTTTTGGAATCGGGGAAGAAAGTTCAGCAAGAGAAAAGAGTTCTTACTTCTGCCAAACTGAATCACCCATTACTAGATGTAGACAAGAAAACACGGCCATCAGTGTAACAACATGGGGTACGTCTACACTACAACGTTAATTCGAACTAACTTAGTTCGAATTAGTTAATTCGAACTAAGCTAATTCGAACTAACGCGTCTAGAACTAAAAACTAGTTCGAATAAGCAAGTCCACATTGAGTGGACCCTGAACAGGGCTTAAGGATGGCCGGAAGCAGTGCCGGCAGGGCATCAGAGGAGGACTTAGAGCGTGGAGATGCTGTCTCAGGCTAGCCGAGGGCTGCGCTTAAAGGGTCCCGACCCCCACCCCGGACAGACAGTTCTAAGGGGTGCCCCGCTTGCAAAGCAGTCCTGGCTTGGATTGCCCGGATTACCCACACTGGGGACATCGGGTGGGTGGCTCTGTGCCGTGCCAGGTGCAGGGTCTGCTGGCTGGGTGCTGGCAGGCTTGCACCTGGCACGGGCACCGTAGCCAGCCCGTGCCCCTTTAAGGGGTCCGGGGCTGGGAGGGGGGCATAGAGTTTCCCTGGTGTTGGCCAGAGTGGCCACCAGGGAAACCTGGGGAGGGCTAGCCTCCCACTAGTTCGAATTAAGGGATTCAAATTCGAACTAGCGGAGCGCTAGTGTAGCGGCTATGAATGTTAGTTCGAACTAACGTCAGTTAGAACGAACTTATCCATGTTGGTTCAAAAAAGACATAGGGTATGTCTACACTACCCCGCTAGTTCGAACTAACATTGTAGTGTAGACATACCCACGCTGTTTTGTGTATGTATGTCTATATGGATATGTCTACACTACCATCCTAGTTCAAACTAGGAGGGTAATGTAGGCATACCGCACTTGCAAATGAAGCCTCGTGGAATGAGGAGTAACGGTAGTTCGAACTAGGAAGCCTAGTTTGAACTACCTAGTTCGTGCCGCGTGTAGCCGCGCGGCACGGGGTTCGAACCAGCCGGGATTTAAAAATGGCGGCGCCCGGCTTATGCAAATGAAGCCCGGGAAATTCAAATCCCGGGCTTCATTTGCAAGTGCGGTATGCCTACATTACCCCACTAGTTCGAACTAGCGGGGTAGTGTAGACATACCCTATGTCTTTTTTGAACCAACATGGATAATAATAAAAATCAGTTTCTGGCTCTTCTCCAGGCAGAGGCAAGTAGAGTGGTGCAGCTAGGGTTCATCCCATTATCAGAGAGTGGCCTCTGTTCTCTCCACCACAGCTGGAGTAACAATCTGAGCTGGGACAAGTCGGAATACTGGGCCTTACCCAGTATGATCTCTGGCAATCCAGCTCTGAGCCAGATATTATTTTAAAGAAACATGAATGTTTCCACCTACATTTTGTGCTACATTCTCTAAGGAAAGTTTCTCTTATCAAATGTATACAATTTATATGCCTTATAAGAAAATAAAAGCTCAGACTTACTCAGTAAGATATTCAGGATTACTGATAGTTGCTGAGAGAGCCAGAAATGGACATTGAATCATAACCAGCAAGTGCTCCCAAACTTCTGCTCCAATTTCCCCACCAAGACAATGGACCTGTATTTGAAAAAAAATCGGCTTTAAATATGGAATGATATTTTAATGATATTTACTTCACAAAATGAGTGCCAAAAATTCTGATATGTCAATATGTTATTAAGGGTCCACTCTGATGCCCACTTAGTCCTTCTAATGGGATCAGTGGAATTGGATTAGACCCTAAGGACTCAACAATATTCATTTTGCACTCAAGCGTCTCAGGGTATGTCTACACTACAATGTTAGTTCGAACTAACGGACGTTAGTTCGAACTAACATTCATAGCCGCTACACTAGCGCTCCGCTAGTTCGAATTTGAATCCCTTAATTCGAACTAGTGGGAGGCTAGCCCTCCCCAGGTTTTCCTGGTGGCCACTCTGGCCAACACCAGGGAAACTCTATGCCCCCGTCCCAGCCCCGGACCCCTTAAAGGGGCACGGGGCTGGCTACGGTGCCCGTGCCAGGTGCAAGCCTGCCAGCACCCAGCCAGCAGAACCTGCACCTGCCACGCCATGAGCCAGCCACCCGATGCCACCCAGCCCTCCCCCGCTTCCCGGGACCAGCCTCGCGGCTCCATGATCTCTGCACTAGGTTCAGGAAAGTGGCCGTCTAGGGCAGGAGGGCTGCCAGCCTGGCCACCCAGGACCAGGTGTGCATGAAAATCAAGGGGGTCCACTGAGACCCCCGACCCTGAGCCCTGAGCTTACAATGGCCGTCCTGGGTCAGACCAAAGGTCCATCTAGCCCAGTAGCCTGTCTGCCAACAGCGGCCAACCCTAGGGACCCTGGAGGGGATGGACCGAAGACAGTGACCAAGCCATTTGTCTCGTGCCATCCCTCTCCAGCCTTCCACAAACTTTGGGCAGGGACACCACTCCTACCCTCTGGCTAATAGGACTCCATGGACCCAACCTCCATGACTTGATCTCACTTCCCTTTAAACTCTGTTCTAGTTGTAGCCTTCACAGCCTCCTGCAGCAAGGAGTTCCACAGGTTAACTATTTGCTTTGTCAAGAACAACTTTCTCTTACTAGTTTCAAGCCTGCTACCCATTCCTTTCCTTTGGTGTCCTCTAGTCCTTCTTTATGGGAACTCATGAAGAACTTTTCTGAATGCACCCTCTCCACCCAACCCCTGCTTTTAGAGACCTCTATCCTGTCCCCCCTCCGTCTCCTCTTTTCTAAGCTGAACAGTCCCAGTCTCTGTAGCCTCTCTTCATCTGGGACCTGTTCCCAACCCCTGATCATGTTAGTTGCCCTCCCCTCTCCCAGCCTTTCTCTTCCCCTCTCCCACCTCCTTTTCCCAGTCTCCCCCAGTTTTGTTCAATAAAGACAGAGTCAATGTTGGAAGAAACGTTATCTTTATTTTGTACATCAATAAGAAGGGGGGCTAGGGAAGGGTAAGTGGAAGGAGGTGAGGGAGGAATGGGGTATGAGCCCCCGATGGGGAGGACTGGGCTGGCTCTGCGGGCTTCTGGGGGTGGAAGCTCTCCTGCAGCCCCCCAATTACTCCCTCTCCCCAGATGGCAGCCTGCGGCAAGTGCAGCCGGGCTGATGGCCGAGTTGTGTGATGTGCCCAGTGTGGGCACTCAGGGCACTCCAAGCCAGAACTTCTTTGCAAGCGGGGCACCCCTTAGAACTGTCTGTCTGGGGTGGGGGTCGGGACCCTTTAAGCGCAGCCCTCGGCTAGCCTGAGACAGCATCTCCATGCTCTAAGTCCTCCTCTGATGCCCTGCCGGCACTGCTTCCGGCCATCCTTAAGCCCTGTTCAGGGTCCACTCAATGTGGACTTGCTAGTTCGAATTAGCAAAACGCTAATTCGAACTAGTTTTTAGTTCTAGACGCGTTAGTTCGAATTAGCTTAGTTCGAATTAACTAATTCGAACTAAGTTAGTTCGAATTAACGTTTTAGTGTAGACGTACCCTCACTAACTTCACTAGCAGTCTTAGATGCATAAAGGATACAGATTATGTCCCTACATTCCATGTTAAATGTCAGATTTGTTAAGGTTCATGATTTCATTTTTACCCCCAAAATTGGCAAATATCTGTGCAGTTAAATATGTGTGAATCAATCCCCACAATTTCTGCACACTTCTTTTCTGACACTTAAGACTAAAGGTTTTGCATTTAGTTTTCAATAGGGTGGTTTGAGAGAAAATGGAGTCACAGAGCATCTTTGGGATACATCTCCCCATTTGCATCATTTAACATTTCTGTCACTCATCAGTAGGGGAACACATTCCAATTCACCTCAGTCCTGATCTGCGTAGCTGTCGTTTGCAACTCATTCACTTCTCATTTTGCATTGCTTTTCTGTTGCCAACTTTCCTGAAATGCTCAATTGACAGGCTATTTTTCATCACAGAGTCATACATTAAAATTATATGAAGATGCATACTGAGCATCTTTTGTATAAATGTGTGCCATCTCTGTCTTTGTCCTGCCTTTTTACCATTTGGACGACATCCAGGATCTTTGAGTTTTATCATAAAATATCTCCATTGGTACTACCAAATGTGAGTGTAAAACACATTCAAAGTGTGCCTGAGTGTAAGAGGCAATGTAAAAGTGTTATATTAGAAATGCAATTAGATGTTATAAAGCATATTGAAAGAGGTAACTGCCACTGTTATGGTATTGTTGGTTTACTTTCAGTGATGGTGTAGTATAAGCTGTAAGTGGGCTTGCAGGTCTAAGAGCTGAGAATGGAAATTCCCAGCTCTATATTTCAGCCCTGGAACCTGAAACACAAGCTGACCATTATCCGCTTTAACCCACGCACTTCAACTGAGAAACTATTAAGCGGTAAACAAGTTTGACCTCAGTCTTAGCTTCGTAAGAGTGATAAGAATGGCATTGAGCCAGTATGCGCAATACAAAGGAGAAAATGAAATTTTTGCTGGCTGATTGGATTAATAATCTCCATGAAAAGAAAACACCTGGGAGTTTAAAACTTGATTCAAAAGAAGGCCAAAACCCTGTATAATGATTTAAAGGACAGAGAGGGAGCGAGCTTAACAGGTGAAAAGGAGACCTCCAGTGTTAGTTGTGGATGATTCCACAGATTCCACAGCGTACCAACCTACATAATGTAAAGAAGCAGCTGGTGCAGATGAAAAAGCAGCTGAAATATTTCCTGCACTGCTAAAGAAAATTGTTTTGAAAATTGTTAACATTGAGAACATGAACCTTTACTAGGAGATCCCAACATGGACTTACATTCCTCATGATGAGAAGACTGCTCCTGGATTTAAAACTTCAAAAGGCCACTTAACCTTCTGTGCAGGGGAAATACAGAAGGTGATTACAAGTTGTAGCCTTTGCTTATCTACCATAGTGAAAACCTAAAAGCAAAGAGGGGCTACATCACATCTTGTCTCCTGTAATTTGGAAGTCGAGCAATATTTTTCTGAGTGGTTTTCAGACCATGTTGTCCCTGAATTTAAGACTTATTATCGAAAGAAAAATGTGGCCTATAAAATTGTCCTTCTGCTGGATAATAAAAGTGTCCATGACCTGGAATATGAAGCCCTCTGCCTGAATGTCAGGCCCTATTTTTGCCACCCAACACCACATTGTTGCTGCAGCTTATGAACCAAGGGATAATGGGCATGTTCAACGCTTACTAAGTATGGAGAATATTCTCCATACCGGTTAGGGAGAAGGAGCATCCTGTAGAAAAGGAAGAGGGGGCTAAAACTCTTGTCTCTCCACATTGATGCATATGGGAACATTGCTGGATGTTCCCCTTTGTTGGGGAGCAAGGGGAGAGTGCATAATTTGCTGCATTGCTCACTTTGGGTGGGGAGCAGAGGAGCAGATAAACTTAGACCTGCCCTAGCCAGAGTTAGGTAGGGCATGAGGAGACGTGCACTCCTCCCCCAGCTGTGCCCATTGCAGGAGTCACAGAGAGGCACTTCTCACCTGACTCCAAGCTGCTGTGGTGAGAGAGGCTTGAGATACTGCTCTTTTCCTGTGGCAGCCTGCATACTGAACCCCTCATTCCCATCCCCAATCCAGAGCAATGATTTAAATGAAGAAAAATGAAAAATAAGTGAATTAAGGACTCGAGTAATGCTGAATAAATCTTCTAACAGATATTTTGAAAAATACAATCATTGGTTCCTTTTTTCAAACATTTTGTACATTAGCTAATTTGATTTCTGTTAAAAGAAACCTACCTCATCAAATATAACATATCTTATTCTTTTGACCCATTCCTGGCGATGAGGGGATAGCAACAAGATTTCTAAACACTGAGGCACTGTTACAAGTATCTGAAAAGAAATATTTATGACATATTATTTCTAATGCTACTGACAAGTTAAATGTAAAAAAAATAGTTTTCATTAGTGAAAAAGGAGAATAATTATAAATGTATAGTGTCATCAAAAAGGTCTTACAGCTGCACCTGCCCAGAATCTGGGCTGCCTACAGCAGAGACACTTGTTTGACTGTGACAACTGATGGGGCACAGACATCAGCAAGCTGGCTCCTCAGCCCAACAGCAACAAGTGATCTCTGGCTGGTCAATGTATATGCTCACAGCTGTGATATCACTTGTGCCTGCCTTGCCCCATCTGTTGCCGGGGGAGGGGCCTGTGACTGTGGGACCTATTTCCGTTCCTGTATCCGCTCATGTATCCAGGCAGAGTTCTAATGGGCAGCATCCGCTGGCTCTCTCAAGGCCTTCAAGGGGAAGTGTGCACTGTCCAGGATTCTCTGCTCGGTATCCCTGTCTGGTTCCCTTGTATTAGCCCTTTGACCCTCACATCCATCCCTCTTTTCTCATTATTTGTCCAACATAATCAGTTGGTTTTCTGGGTTCTGTGGACCCTCCCCGTAGGCTGGGGGAAAGTCCTTCCGGACACCAAATAGTTCCATCTGTTCTAGCCTTATTTCCCTATCACTGGTTTTAGTTCCTGACTCTGGCTCTGACCTCTGACTCCAGGCACCATACACATCCTAGTTCATGACATAATTACCTGATCTCCAGATATTCAAGATGTACATAAACTCTAAATTTAACCCAATCCACCATGCATCAATGCAATTATGTATATGAGAATCACAACATTTTGCACCTATGTCCTTATATATTGCATGTAGTTTATGACTTGTTTCACTTTTTCCCTAGACAAGGATGCTGTTTTGGGCTTGAGCTCAATGTGTGTTACAGATAACAAAAAAGCTTAGCCCTATTTCTATGGTAAGAATTTTAAAAATGCAGTTCTATTTATTTCATTGTATGTGTTTTCAAAAGTAGGTGTGAGAGTGAGAGTGAGAGTTTGAGTGAGAGTGAGAGAGAAAAAACGAATAACAGCACAGGAATAAGTCCTCAAAAGCAATGCAGTGTAAATACCATTATCATAGAATCATAGAATCACAGAGCTGGAAGAGACCTTAGAAGGCCATCAAGTCCACCCCCCTGCCCACGGCAGGACCAATACTAATTAAATCAACCCAGCCAGGGCTTTGTAAATCCGAGACTTAAACACCTCTAGGGATGGAGACTCCACTACTTCCCTAGATAACCCATTCCAGTGCTTCACCACCCTCCTAGTGAAATAGTTTTTCCTAATATCCAATTAATTAAGGGCCAGGTGAGCTGATCAGGCTGCCACAAGGCCTCTTTAAAAGCCTTCCCTACGGGAGAGGGAGGAGAGAGAGAGAGTTGAGGAGGAATGTGGAGAGTAGTAAACAACCAGGTGACAAGGAGATTCAGAGGAGCAGAACAGGAGGAATCACCAGCCCTGCTAAAGGCTGCAGGGAGAGGCGAAGGGCTTGAGCAGTGAGTGTTGAAAGGTTCCCTATCCTTTCATGGGGCTACAGGAGGACTTACTACTCAGCTGTGACTGGCCCAAGGCTTCAGCCCAACACTCCCTTCTTTATGCTGAGGGCCAGGAAGGTCAAGCGCTAAAAACTCTGCAAGTGAGCGTCATGCTCCAGCCCTAAAACTGTGGGATAGTGGACAGAACAGGGGTCAAGGACCCAGGAGTGGGACTAACCTTGCCACAATACAATCAAGCAAACACCCCTCATGGTCAAAATGTAAGTGGTGCTCTTACAGGTACAGAGTTCCTAGTAAATAGGATGAAACCTTAGGCTCAAGTACACTCAAATTTCATCTAATCTTTATGTAGTTATGGCAACATTATTCTAATAAAAATATAGTTCCTGAGAAGTCAATCAAAAGCTCATAAGGTCACTATTTAAATAAACATGGTATGCAGTAACACATGAGAATACTGTACCTGACAGTTCAGGGTATCATGGCGATAATCCCTTGTGAAAATTCCACCTACTACTAATCCATGAGGCAGTGTCTTGGTGAATCGATTGTATACAGTTCCCATCACTTGGTTGACAAGAGCCTAGTCATTATTACATAAAACAGATAACGAATAAAGCTATTAGAAAATGTAAGTCTACATTAGTATCTGAGATGTCGAGAGGCTTCATTATTTTTGACACATGTTAATTTAGAACAGCAATAGCAATTTAGAGAACTATAACAATGCTTATTTTTAGTGTTACTTACAACTGATTTAGAAGAAATATGTTGTGAGCAGGTGTGCATAATATTTTACTCTTTTTTAAAAAGTTAAAAACATAGAGCACATTCTATGATAAATTCCAGAATTCTGTCAGATTCTGAGAGTGCAGGGAAATTTATGTGCACAGATCCTTTATTTAAAAATGAAAATGCCAGTTAGAGTCCTAACAATAATAAATATGTACAAAATTTGATTGCTCATGCAGTTGTGAAAAAACTACACATATATTAGATGCATTACACACACTGAATGTACATTCCTGGGCTCCTATGTTATATCCAGAGTTATAAAAGTGAATGCTAAAAATTTGTTTTTAAAGGAATATAAAATCCCATGCTTCATGGTTTAAGACCAGATACTTTACTACATGGACTATGAGTCCAATCCAACAGGTAGTTGCCAGGTTCCTATGTTTTTTATACATATTTTTGATACCCTGATAAAATGCTCTTTCATCATTGACATAATACACTCTTATTTAGTATTTTCCACCTTCAAAGTGCTGTATAAAAATTAACACAAACTAAATTCTGTATATCTTATGGAATATTTCTAAACATGTTTAATTAAAGTAGATATGTCCAATTAAAGCAGACATACATAATCTAAATCAGTTTAAATAATCACAAAAAATTCTTTTAATCATATTAGGAAATACTATTGTCAACATACAAAATAAATAATTATATATAGCCATACTTTTGTTGGTGAGACATACACAACTACTCCTTCATTGCTCTCTCTCAGAACTTTCTCCATACAATAATATGATGCATAGGTTTTCCCTGACGAAGTAGGAGCAACAATCACTGCAGACTCATTATTGTCTACAACATCAAGAAGCTCTCGCTGCAGATAAAACAAATAATTCATTTCTAGACGTGTCATTTTATATATTCTAGACTGATATGCTTAAAGTTAAAAAATATTTTCTCTGCTGCTACAGTAGTATTATATTTTTCCATCAACTTTGATTTTTAATTGTAAACTATCTTTTCATAATTTGGCCAGGAAAATGCACTTGGGTTTGAATTGTTGATACAAGAAATTTTTCAGTTCAAAAGTGAACTTAAAAAAAAAACAAAAAAATATGAACCTGTTGGTTCAACAGTATATTTAGAAATTTAGAAGCCAAATTTAGAAGCCAAAAAAGTCATTGTTTTCTCTGATACAATCATTATTTCTTGTGTAAGAAAACATATGCAAGTACTGCACAACCACACACCTCTCCCCAAGTCCAATCCCCTTTCATTATTCTTCTCCTCAGCCTACCTTTAGAAGTTAGCCAGGGTTCCGGTAAGGGGGGAAAGAAAGCGGCAGCACTGGTAAACTCTTCCCCACTCAAGCACATTTGCCAATGTTTATGTTGCTCCTTGAGCAAGTGAAATTTCTGCAGTTGTGAACATAAGAAAGCCTTTCTCTCTCTTTCTATTCATAATAGGGACAGAGCTATGTTTGTTACCTTTGCTGAAGGAACAGGCATTCCTTCAGAACATGCAGCATCTTGGATCATCTTTTCTTTTTCTAAAGACAGGTGGGTGGAGAAGGGCATCCAATCCAATAAGGATTTACTTTATCCACAGATTAAGAAATTACCTTCCCGCCCACACAATTTTTCTCTGTAGTATAAGCCTAAAGCTTTGAAAGGTTCTCCCGTCCTTAGGCCATTTGAAGTTTTGTGTGTACAAGGAATGTGATACTATGTCCCAAATAGTCAAATTAAATAGTTGTGTAAAAGCCCCATTATTTTGTATTTATTTCAGATACTGTGTTAGGGTATGTCTACACTACCCCGCTAGTTCGAACTAGCGGGGGGTATGTAGTCATCCGCAGTTGCAAATGAAGCCTGGGATTTGAATTTCCCGGGCTTCATTTGCATGAAGCCGGCCGGCGCCATTTTTAAATGCCGGCTAGTTCGGACCCCGTGCCGCGCAGCTACACGCGGCACAGACTAGCTAGTTCGGATTAGGCTTCTAATCCGAACTAGCTGTACACCTCGTGGAACTAGGGCTTAAAAGAAGCACAAGATAGAAAGGGATTACAGTAAATAAAGGATAAAGGGGGCAAATGAGAAGATAAGCTATAGCAGTGAGAGAAAATAAATATATTTATCATGTATGACTCTCATTCATTGCTTTTTAAAGTTTGAAAGAAAATCTTGACAAAATCTCTAACTGCATGAATTAAAAATAGTTTCCATCTAACATTACCTGCCATGTGTCTGGTATAAAATGCTGTATTCTGGGATCTGGATCTTTCCTCTCTTCTCTGAACAAGTAATAGCCCATATATTGTAGCTGAAAACGAGCTGCTCCCATCTCTGTAGAATATTTGGCTAACTTCTCATTGTCATTTTCTATTATCTACAAGGTCAAATTAAATTCAAGTCAGATTTACTATTAAGGATAGAGTCATCGAAAATGGCAGAACACTGTATAAGCTATGAAAAATAAGTTTGATATGTGCTGAAAAGGAAAGGTAACTTGTATAAATATTTGTTGAATTTTATTTTATATCATACAATGTGGTTTAAAACCATCTTTTCTTGTTTCAGAGTGTTGTATGTGCAACATTTGGAGGATAGAAGCTGCAGTGTAAAGTATCACACTGAGAAGTTGGCTTCAATGGGACCAAGTTCAGGCCCAATGCATGTAAATTTGGAGGAAATAGGGAAAAGTGCAAAAAATAATCTGTTATATCACTTTTAATTTAATTAGTTGATTATATTCTGTAAAAATTAATTGTATTGTATGAAAATTACCTGGCTAGACAAAGAACATGCCAAATTCTCAAATCCAAGGTATTTCAGACATTTGGCCAACTTTTGTATATGTGTTTTCTTTAACAGTTCCTGGTATTTGTCAAGAAGTACGTGAACTCTCCTCATCACTTGGACAGCTATGCTTAAATCTCTTGATTTCCTGCCTAAAAATAACCATTTGATATATTCATAAGTGACTCAAGATAGCTCTCGGGAGGAGCATCACCTCCCTGTACCCCTTCCCAGCCCCTTTAGGTGGCCCTCCCCGCATCCTCCCCTCCCGAAGGCACCAGTCATCCCTGGATATATGATTAAAACAGGGGTGGCCAACCCGTTAGAGACGAAGAGCCAAAATAGCAGTGGATAGAGTGCGAAGAGCCACGTACCGGGGGGGAGGAGGGACGGGGAACGGGAGGGGAGTTGTTAAGAAAAAAAAAAAACCGTGCCAGAGAAAAAGAGGTGCCAGTACACCGTCCCAAGCTCTGGGACAGAAACTGGGTGCAGGAGAAAGTAGAGAAAAGGATGCTGGCTCAGGGAGGTGGCGTCAAGCTGGTGAGTGTTGGGGTCCGGGGCCACAGGCTTGCGGATGTGAGGGTGCAGGACAGGGGCAGGGAGTGTGAGGGGCTCATGGCAGGGAGATTGGGAGTATGATGGGCTCAGGACACAGATTTGCAGTGTGTGGATGGTGCAAGAGTGTTGTGGCAGAAGACTGGGGATGTGGGGGTACAGGAGTTTGGGGATGTGAGAGGCTCAGGACAGGGGGTTCCAGTGTATGATGGGCTCAGGTTTGGTGTCTGAGGGGGTGCAGGAGTGTTATGATGCTGCGGCCAGATGGGGGCTTGGCCCTAATTGGGGGCTTGTTGGCCAGGCTTCATTTTTAAATAAAATATATCAACACAAAATGTTTGAGCATTGTCTTTATTTATGTGAGGGGTGGGAAACCTGTTTTGAGTCAGGGGTCACTGACCCACGTAAAAGTCAGTTGGGGCCACACAAGTGAGATGCAAAAAAAAAAAAAAACCTTCCAAGCCTCACTAATGTGATCCCAACTG